TAAACCACCAGTATATATTTTGCACTTATAAATTTGGGTAGCATGTTTTATGCAGGTCCTATTTCAACAGCCTCTCTACTGAGTTTGTTCCACCTCAGACAGGCCACAAAATAATTTTTCCAGGCTACCCAACAGACCTGTCATCACACACAATCTTTACAAATAAGATCTTGGACATCAGGTGGGGCACAGTGGCTCATACCTGTAATCCTAGCACTCTAGGAAACCAAGACAGGTGAATTTCTTGAACTCAGGAGTTCAAGACCAGCCTGAGCAATAGCAAGACCCTGTCTCAAACAAACAAACAAACAAACAAAAGAATCTTAGACATCTACCCCTCCCTAGGAACATAGGTATGACATTACACCAATAACATTCTTCTCCAAGGAGACTTGGTTGACACATTCACCGAAGACAAACAAATAACTATAATCTTTTAGTACTCTAGGGTTTCTGGTGGCAACATATTTCTCATTCACAAATTTTACTTATCAACAGACACTCCTATTAGTGACTTAAACACCCAGCCTGAGAAAGTGAGACCCCTGTCTCTACTTTTAAAAATAGAAAAAATAGCTGGGCAATGTGGTGGGTGCGTGTAGTCCCAGTTACTCAGGAGGCTGAGGCAAGAGGATTGCTTTAGCCCAAGAGTTTGCATTTGCTGTGAGCTATGATGACACCATGGCACACTACCCAGGGTGACAGAGACTCTGTCTCAAAAAAAGAAAAAAACATGAATAAAAGGGAAAAACTCCTATATGACAAGACTCTGACAACTTTTTAAATGCCTCATAGAGTCTCTGGATCACTTATGGTGACCTAAATTAGTTGCTCCAGGGCTTCTGATGCAAGAAATTGCCTTCTATTCACCATTAAAACGACACCTCCTACAGGACTCTCACTGACCCTGACCTGTGTCTCTCCATCCCCAACTGCCCATTATACTTTTCATGTCATGGAAAAATAGAAACAACCTCCCACAAGCTCCACTCAGCTACCAAGGCCTCCTTAAGACTGGATGAAGCCTGGCCCTCTGGAATATTCCACTTGCAGGAGATGGTAGGCTTCAGAGGACAGACACCAAAGTATTGGAAGAGGTCACTTTTCCCCCATGCCTCCAGACTACCTGCAAAGCACTGTGGGATTAACTAAGTGAAACGAAATGGGAGTTCGTGGACTGTACAAAGGCCACTGCTGATCATCATATGTGATGGAACTCAGAGGAATGTTGCTGCTTTCCATCCCTTTAGCCAGGATGTCCCTAGCAAAGCACTGGACACAGCACACTTGGCTAAATTTTTCAGGCAGTCATCTTAGCACTGAATGCCTTAGCCAACAAATGGTCCCATCTTCACATCTGTTACAAACTCTTGGGCCATTCATTACCCAAAAGTTGTTGTCTTTAAGGTAGGGAAAAAACAAAAACAAGACAAAACCAAAAAACTCCTCTGGAAGTTGCTTGCATGACAGACACTAAAAATATAAAGCAAAATTATACATCCAGCCACATGCAGTGGCTCACGTCTGTAACCCTAGCACTCTAGGAGGTCAAGGTGAATAGAATGCTTGAGCTCAGGAGCTTGAGACCAGCCTGACCAAGAGACCACCTCTAAAAATAGCCAGGTTTTGTGGCAGGCACCTGTAGTCTCAGTTGCTCAGGAGGATGAGGCATGAAGATCACTTGAACCCAAGAGTTTGAAGTTGCTGAAAGCTATGATACTACAGCACTCTACCAAGGGTGACAAAATGAGACTCTGTCTCAAAAAAAAAAAAAAAAATTACACATCCCCACACATCCTAAGATCATAACAAAAGGCCTTGCCAGGACACTCCTTGTTCCCTTCAGAGTTACGGACCTTATTAGTAGTAATTGAGACACACGTTTCAGTTCTTAAAATACATAATACGAGACTCTTGAAAAAGGCATTCAATAGAACTTTCATTCCCCTAATAGGTCCGAAATAACTGGTTTCACTGAAAGACATAATGGGGTCCTTAAACAACTACTTCTCAAATTCCTGTCCAATATATAAACCCCTAAAGTTCTCTATCATGCCCCAGTACTTAATTTATTTTCAATCTTGTCCCTAGCCCACAAAGGATGCACACTATTCTGGGACTCATAAACCAGAGACTGTTCCACAGGCAAGGCAGTTGTTCATCTGATAGGGGACCCATTTGAATCTAAATTTCTAGCAAAAATCAAAAACAAAAAATGTCCCTGTTAGGTGCAGATATACATCATTCCATTAACTATTAGTCTTACTGCCACTGGTTTGGGTGCTTTGTTGGTTTACAACCTGTAAGGCCAACATTATCTCCAATGGATACCCACTTAAAAGGATACCTTGGGTGGCGCCTGTGGCTCAAAGGAGTAGGGAGCTGGCCCCATATGCCGGAGGTGCCGGGTTCAAACCCAGCCCTGGCCAAAAACTGCAAAAAAAAAAAAAAGGATACCCTAGTCCCACATTCTAGATGACTTTGCCCTGGCCCTAAAATCACCACTGGTGATGACACTGCCTCAGACAACACAACCTCAATGCAAGACCTTGATGTTGGAGATGACATTACCTATTACACTAGGCAATGCCCTCTGACTGCCTCTCCTAAGGCACTAGCAGACAAAGAATATTTTTTGCTTTTCTTCCTGAATCCACTGCTTAGCTTGTGATCCTAACACAGTACTTGCTCACTGCTCAAATATGCATCTCCACACATCCATATCTAAAGGAAAATCTGGTATAGGTTACAAAATTAATGGAGATTTCTGTTTTCCACAGAAAGTACCTGCCTCATATTAGTAAAACCTTACCTCCCTGGGGAGAGGACCACCTACTCTGTGGTGCTTCCTCCTTCTACTGTCCTCCCACTTTCTACCCTCGACCTCCTATCTCATCTTCCCTTCCACAACCACTCCCTGCCCCTGGTTACTTACAACACCACTAATGTTTATATGCCTGCTACTAAATCACTTAACATCCTCCAACATAACTGCCCCTGCAGGGTCTCCAGCATTCAAATTACAACTGTCTTATGGTTAAGATAATACTGAGGCACTAAGGGATGTATTGCTAACAATCTAGTTGCTATCCTGGCATTCATTTTTAGGCCTGACATAAGTTGTTGGAAACCGTTCATAACCCACCACTTTTGACCTAGTTAAAACTTTTTCTCCCTGTGTGGTTGTTGGGATATAACCTGCTTGTTTCACGTGTCATGACCCCAAATCCAACACATTCCAGAACTTCTGAGCATGATGAAACCTAATGGCCAACACTATCCCCTCTATATGTAACCACTGGAAGCCTGAGAGATGATGCCAAGAGAACTCAGTAAAGGCAGAATTCCACAGGTCCTCTCTCATTCCCCACCCACTGGTAAGCATCCCTGTCTGCGGACTTCCTGCTGGCCCTTGAAGGCAGTTCTCAGTCTTGTGGACCTGACCTGACCAACACACCAGAACATAACCTTCCTCCTGGTCAGGTCAGAGTTAGAATGCATAGCCACTCTCCAGAGAGGTCTATGACCTAAGACCAAATTAAAGGAACATACTAACAGGGGACATGAGATGGGATGGACACTGCAAAAGGAAGGTGACCTCACCTGCCAGATACAACTGCAACGTGGTAGTCAGGGGTGTGGGTGTGGAGGGCAGCTCATTTGCCTTTAGACTTTGCCTAAGCCATGTCCCAAGACACAGTCCCCAGGCAATTAAAGAACCCTGGCCTAGTCACCACCATGGCCCTTCTGACACCGACAACATATTCCAAACCCTCATCAATTTGTGATAATACACTTATTTTTGGTTAGATGACAGCCTCCTCCATAAGTTCCCTAAGAAAAGGCCTAACTTGAATTTCTTCACTGTGTCTTAAATCAACTATTCAGGCCTTCATTACATTATAGGAAATACAAGAAATGGGGAAACATTTAAACACACCACAAGAATACAACCAGAAATACCAAAATGGGTGATTCTCTGAAACAATGAGTGACTAGCAACAGCAACAGGTTCAGAGACTCAAACTGAAATATATAAAACTTTAATAGATAATAGATCCAAAGATAATCAAAAGCAAATTTTGGAATAATGAAGAATTTTACTTTCTTAAATAGGGTAGATATTATTATTTTTAACTTTCTTGGTTCACATACTAGTACTGTGGTTTTAATAGGACAATGTCTTTAGCTATAGAATATGTATTACAAACCATTTAAACCAAAGTGTCATCATTCCTGTAATTTTCAACTTCAAGGCCTCTATCCTTCCTTCATATAAGCCCCTGTTTTGAAGCTCTGTAGGGGAAGTTTAAGCCTAAGAAGTTCATATGAAAAGAACAGCTGAATAATGTTAGCTTTTCTTTTTTTTTTTTCTTTAGCAAAAAGACTTTCGGGTCTACAAAGGTTTATATTTACATATAAAAATAAGCGCTCCCCAGACACCTTGACTGTAGCTTTATCTTTCTACCTGACTGCAATGTATCAAAAGTAAATATAGACTCGGGGCCCATAGCTCAGTGGTTAGGGCGCTGGCCACATACACCGAGAGAGGTGGGTTCGAACCCCACCCGGGCCTGCTAAACAACAATGACAACTGCAACAAAAAAATAGCCGGGCGTTGTGGCGGGCGCCTATAGTCCCAGCTACTTGAAAGGCTGAGGCAAGAGAAATCGCTTAAGCCCAAGAGTTAGAGGTTGCTGTGAGCTGTGCCACGGTACTCTACCGAGGGCGACATAGTGAGACTGTCTCAAAAAGAAAAAAAAATGGTTCGCAAAAACAGGAGGAAGAGGGCCCTTGAACCAACTTTTACCCGGTGCTCACCGGGACGAGCCGAATTCGCTAGGTCCGTGAGGCGGAAAGACAGAGCCACCATCAACCTGACTCTAACGGCAGTTATTCTTTGCCTGTTAAAAAAAAATTCACACAGACCGCTTTGGAGAATTTTGAAGAGGCAATCACTGTGTTTGAAAAAACCCTGAGGAAGAGTCGGAAGGACTTACCTCAAAACTGCTCCTGGCCGGGCCGTTGGAGCGACAACCCCAGCGGCCTGTCTGCCCTAAGCTGCGTTGGAAGGCTCCGTGGGTCTGGCAGAAGTGATCAGAGTGGGTCCCTTCAGCAACCTCGGGCAAAGCCGCGTTCCTTCCCTTTGCCTGTCTTCACTGAATGACGTGATAAAGCCAACTACTACAAATAAAAACACACCTTAGCCTTGCTGAGCAGGCGCCGGAAAAGACGGCGGCGCGCCGAATGTCACTTCCGCTTCTAGCCTCAGCGGAAAGACTGGCTTTCCACTGTACCCGGCCCGGTCACACCGAACCCAGTCGGGACCCAGACGAGCAGAGAAATTCTCGATTTGCCCAGCGTCTGTGCGAATGGGCCTTGAGTTCGGCTTCTCGCGGGGGCTGGAGGCAGAAACAGGCCCAGGACAAGGTTGAGGTTAGTAAGGGGAGCGGGAGGAAGGGCGGGCCCCGCATTCTGCGACGGTGAGACCAGGCTCAGGGCCCAGGGCCCAGTTTCAATGATCAAATACGGCCCAAAGGCGAAACTACAAGTGGACTTGCCCACACAATGCTCACAAAAGGTTTTCTACCTCCCTCCCTTTGGGTTTGCAGCAATTCTTACATGGATAAACTTGCCAGTCCCTGGAAAGTTCTGTCTCCTAAATTCAGTCCATCCGATCTTTAAGCTTGTATTTCCCCTTTTTAATTTATATAACATGCTAAACTGTTAAGAGTGGCCTTTTCAACGTATTGATACTTTTTGTAAATCTGAACTTTTTTTCTACTTCAAATAATGTATTTCTAGTTTTATTTCTGGGATCTTACCACAAAGTTCCAAAGCCACGCATACTAGGTTGGAAAATAGCCCTGATAAGAGGCATGCTTCACTTATGCAGGAATGCTTCTAAAGTTTCTCCAGAAGTCAATTTTGTTGTGGCTTATCGTGGGTGGCCTTCATGCAATTAATAGTTATTTTGAATACTGATTTTTTTTTTTTTTTGAGACAGTCTCACTCCGTTGCCCAGGATACAGTGCCATCACGTCAGCCTAATCTCACTGCAACCTCAGACTCCTGGGTTTAAGCAATCTTCCTGCCTCAGCCTCCAAAGTAGCTGAGTCCAAAGGTTCCTGCTACGACAGGCTAATTTTTTCCATTTTTAGTAGAGATGGGTCTTGCTTGCTCTTCCTTGGGCTGCTCTTGAGTTCCTTAGCTCAAGGGATCCTCCCACCTTGGCCTCTTGAAGTGTTAGGATTACACACATCCGACACTGCGCCCAGCCTGAACACTGAGTTACTAACATTTTATCAAGATTTATTCATGCTCATTACCAAATGTTTTATGAATCTATTGACTTGTTAACTCGTTACTGATTTTTCATCTTTTCCTGCAGAAAATTTTTATGTAGCCAAAGGAGTTAATTTTAAAAAATAATTTCTAGGTTTCCTGCCTTGCATTAAAGTCTTCATAAACTCTAAATCACATACAGATTTCCTGATGTTCTTCTGCAGTTTATTACTTTTTAATCTTTCTCACTCGTGGAGTGTATTTTGGCATATGATGTGGGATAGTGGATCCATTTATTTTTCCCTTACAGCTGGATGGCCAGTTATTGTAATACCACATAGTAGTAAACTCTCCTTGACTTACCGGTTTGACATTCCATGTTTATTAGACAATAAATTCCTGGGTGTGTGATATATACATACCCTATATCTGATTCTAGATTCTATATCAGGAAATGTTTACTTATGCCAATCCAAAGGTTTTTATTCTTCTTAGACATCTATATGAATCCAGTAGCTTTAAGAAGGTAATGATAGCTGTTTGTTGTTTCTTCCCTTCCTGCTTCAGACATTAAGTTTTTATTCTCCATCAATTGAGTCCAGGAGTTCATGGCTACAGTTAATTATGGATCATGCCACTGCACTCTAGCCTGGATGAGACAGAGACCTTGTCTCAAAAAAATAATTTTTATGCTTCCAGTGATGTAGCTACTGCCATGATTTTCAGTTTTAGTATGTGGACCAGCTGTATTTAGATGTAGTTCACATATGACAAATCATCCATTTAAAAGTATACAATTAAATGTGTTGAGTACATTCACAGTATTGTGCAACTATCATAGTCTTAGGACCTTTTCATTACCCTAAAAGAACTCTTTGGATGTCAAAACCCATTTACTTCCCCCTGAAGCTCCAGGTAACTACAAACTTAGTCTCTGCAGACTTTTGTGGACATTTTGTATGAATAAAATCATACAACTTTTTGTGAATAGCTTTTTTCACTTAGCATGTTTTTTCAATGTTCATCTGTGTTGTAGTATAGATCAATTTTATTACTGAGTAATATTCCATTCCATTTACTAACTATCATATTTTGTTCATCAGTTGATGGACATTTGGGTCATTTCCACTTTGGGGGTATTAGGAGTAATGCTGCCAGGAAAATTCACATGTATTTTTTTGTGCACATACACATTTCTCTTGGAATTGCTGGGTTCTACAGTAATTATAAGTTTTAGAATTTAAAGAACTACCAGAAATTGTAAGGGTTCCAATTTTTCCACATCCTTGTTAACAGTTGCTATAGTTTTTCTCATATTAACCATCCTGGTGAAGTGGTAATAATCACTTATTATTGCCCTAAGACTAGTTAAGCATGTTTTCATGTGCTTTTTAGCCATTTGTATGTATTCTTTGGAGAAATTTCTGTTCATGTCTTTTATCCCTTTTGAAATTTGATTGTCTTTTCATTATTGAGTATTGAAGTTCACTATCACAGATAAGATTTGCAAATATTTTCTGCCATTCATTGTTTTGTCTTTCACTTTTTTGCTGGAATATTTTAGAATACAAAAGTATGTAATATGATCAGCGTCCTCTGAAATACAAGAGTTTGATGTTGATAAATTTGTTTTTTCTTTGTTTCTATTGTGCTTTGGGACCATACCTAAGAGAACACTGCGAAAGCCAGTGTCATGACACTTTTCCCCTATACTTTTTTCTTCTAAGAATTTTACATTTGTGGGTCTTATACATCATTGATCAATTTTGAGTTAACTTTGTGAAGAATAAGGGCCCAAATTCCTTCATTTGCGGTATTCATTTGTGGTATACATTTCTCTCAGAACCACTTGTTGAGAACATTTTCATTCTCCATTGAATTACCCTGGCACCCTTATAGGCGATCAGTTGACCATATAAGTGTGAGCCTATTTCTGGAGTCTAAATTCTATTCTCCTTATCTATAACTTTATTCTTAAACCAATGCCATACTGTTTTCCACGCTACAAAATTTTGTAGCACTTTTTTTTTTGCAGTTTTTGGCTGGGGCTGGGTTTAAACCCGCCACCTCTAGCATAGGGAGCCTGCCCCCTACTCCTTTGAGTCACAGGCACTGCCTTTTGTAGCACTTTTTAAAATCTGAAAGTGTAAGTCATTCAACTGTGTTCCTCTCTTTCAAGACTATTTTGGTATTTAGTGTTCTATTTCTATATAAAGTTTAGGATTTGCTTGTCAATTTCTGTAAGAAGGCAGTCCTAAAGAAAAAAATTCATCACTGGCACTATTAAAGCATGCTAATGCAGACTTTATTCAGTATCACTGTTTTAGGTATAGGAACCACTGCAATGGGCTTTTGCAGTAGAGGAGAGAGACTGGGCTAACTCTGAATACAAGATTGGCAAGTGGGGATTTATGGCCAAGTTAAAGATTGAGGGTCATTGGATGGAAAATTACAAAGGGGAAATATCAAGCATATAGAGGATAGTGGATAAACCAACCTAACAAGATTCTTGTTCAAGTCAGGCCAAAGTAATCAGATGTCAAAAGGGGGATCACAGGCGATGAGGAACCAAACAGATGTCCAGGGTTATCTGATATCGAGGGTACTAGATTCTTGCTAAACTGACTTAGCCAGGTTCTGGCTAAAACTGGATTTCCAAAGAAATACAAATCTGTAGATAAGCCCAAGAAAAGTTTGAGGAGCTAGATTATAGTCCGGTAAAACAAAGACTTTATCACCATCTGGAATTTTCAGAAAGATTATGTTTAATCTATAGACCAATTTGGGAAGTATTGCCTAAGTATTCTAATGACTGAACACGTTGTGACTTTCCATTGCTTTTGGTGTTTTCTTTTTTCTTTTTTTTTTTGAGAGAGAGCCTCACTATGTCGCCCAGGGTAGAATGCCATTGCGTCACAGCTTACAGCAACCTCCAACTCTTAGGCTTAAGCAATTCTCTTGTCTCAGCCTCCCAAGTAGCTGGGACTATAGGCAACTGTCACAATGCCCGGCTATTTTTTGTGTTGCAGTTGTCACTGTTTAGCTGGCCTGGGTCAGGTTCAAATCCGCTACCCTGGGGGTATGTGGCTGCCACCATAACACTGTGCTATGAATGCTGAGCCTGTTTTTGGTTTTTATCATTGTAAGTCTTGCTCATCTTTTATTAAATTTATTCGGAAGCATTATTTTAATGTTATTATAAATGGAAATGTTTTCTTAATTTCATTTTGGATTATACAATGATGGTAGATAGAAAAATAGCTGACTTTTCTATGTTGCTTTTTTTGTTTTTTGAGATAAGAGTCTCACTCAGCCACCCTGGGATTGAGTGGTGTGATAGCTTACAGAAACCTCAGTCTTGGGGTCAAGTGATCCTCTTGCCTCAGCCTCCCAAGTAGCTAGGACTACAGGTGCCCACCACAATGCCCGGCTATTTTTAGAAACAGGGTCTCTTGCTCAAGCTGTCCTCAAATTCCTGAGCTCAAGCAATCCACCCACCTTGGCCTCCCAGAGTGCTAGGATTACAGGCATGAGCCACTGCTCCTGGCCTTCTATGTTGCTCCTGTTACCTGTTAACACCTTACTGAACTTGTAAGTTCTAATAGTTTTTAGTGTATTCCTTAGGATTTCCTAGATAAAAAATCATGTTAGTAGACATATTCATTCTTTCTAATCTACATTTTCCTTTTCTTGATCATTTACATTTAAAAATTCCCAATGGATGCATAATTTTATGAGGTGCTTTTTCATCTTCCCTTGCAATACATTTTTTTCCTTTCTTCTATAGTGTAGTCATCAATTGTGCTGAGAATGTATTTGGTAATAAGCCTGTCTTGCAATCCTGGAGTAAAACTGGTCATAGTGCACTATTCTTTTTGTTATTAATTTATTTTACTAACGTTTTATTTAGATTATTTAC